ACACTCACACATGTGAGCAAGCGATGTAACAGATAATTACTATGGACAAAGTCCAGATCTACACAGCAATGATTGCACTGGCATAATGAGTTTGCACGTACTATCCTTCAACCTTCAACCCAGCTTTAGACAGACAGAACAAGGCTCATCTTACTTTTTCTATGACCCTGCCCTACTATTTCTTCCAATTTACTGACAAATAAACCCAGGGGTCTTATCACTTCATCTTAAATGTCCTAAGTATGTATTCCTAAAAAGAGGACTCTTTCTGAAATGTATCCTATGTTCTCCAAGTCAATACCATTTCAACAAGACCACCTTGGGGAGAGAGCAGTATCATGGCATAAAAATTTACTTTGTGTGTCAGCATAAAAGCTTTGGAAATGCAATTTGCATATCTACCAAAGGCAATAAAAAAAACTAGGATCAGTAAGATGGCTCAGCAAGTAAAAGCATGTGCTTCCAAGCCTGACAGCCTGAGTTCGATCCTCAGAAACTACGAGGTGGGAAAATTGACTTTTACTTCCTTGTGAAAATAATTCCTATTATGCTGCTTTTCTCCTATTTATTCCAAGGAAATAACACAATGGAGGAAAAATAAGCTATCCATATAAACATTCATTAAAACAGTGACATAATTTGAGATTTAATGAATTGTGATTAAGATTTGGAATAGTTTAAGTAATAAAGTGCTTATAAAATTAGAAGCATAGGAAATGAGCTAAAATAAGAGGAATTTTATTACTACTACAATCTTACTGTTACTATAACTGTAAAGATTCTTATGTACATAGATAAATTTTAGAAACAACAACAAACTAAGATAGAATTGCAGGTGTCTTTTCTGTATAAAAGTTTATACAGACTAGCTAGTTTATACAGACTAGCATAATGGCTTTATATGTAAACTATTGTATCAGTTACTATTTTTAATTTCTCCACACTATAATTTGGGCATCTACCAGAACACAAATCATATGACTTTCCCTGTGATGTTTCCTACAGTCAGTCCCCTTAATCTTAATTTCTTTCTTTAAATTCTTGTAGCTCTTGGGAAACAATGCACTGGCATTGTTCATAAAGTACCCTAAAAAGTTTCATTTGAAAATGTGACCAGCAAGAAGCGGCAGAGCAGTGAGGGGGTGAATAAGGCATCTTGTTCCTCCAATAGACTTGAGGTACATGACTTAGGGTGTGGCTTCGGGTGTTTGGACATGATCCCTTAAGGAAGAGGGGGGCCTCTCTCTCTCTTTTGGGTGGTGATCTGAGCGTCCTGGGTGGCAATATCCTGTACCTCCAAAGGCAGCTATTTACCTTCATTGTGTGAATGCTTTTCAAATAAATAAGAATGAAGCATAAGATATACTTCTAAAATGCCATTATGAAGCCCATTACTTTGATCGCTAACTTTAAATTTTAATTTAAATTGGTTATTTTAAAGCATGGTAAATCTGGTGTGGTGGCTCATGCCTTTAATCCTACCATGTGGGAGGCAGAGACAAGAGGATCTCTATGAGTTCAAGGCCAGCCTGGCCTACATCAAGAGTTCCATGCCAGTCAGAGATATTAAAACTAATAATAATAACCCTGACAGTCAGAACCCTTTCTCTTGTAATGTAGTTCTTTTCGAGTAAAACTAAACCACCTGCATAGTACCATGAAATTAACTTTAGTTCCTTTCTTTTATATTTCCTCCCCTCCCTGCCCCCTTTTAGACAAGTCTCAGATGACCCAGGTTGGTCTTAAACTCACTGTAGTTGAGTCTGCCCTTCAACTTGAACTCCTGATCCTCCTGCCTCTACCTCTTAAATTCTATGATTGTAGTTAGAGATGCACATCTACTCTTGGACTCCAAATCCTGTTTTTACAACCAAACACTCAAACAAATCTTACCCCCTAGAGCTCAGATGGAGACCAAGCAAAGCAAAATTCCATCAGCAAAGGCTGGGGTGAGATGGGACTCCCAGGACCACGAGCTCCACCTGCTGGCTAGCAAATCCCCAGCCGGCTGCTACAGGGTCTTCAGAACTTTGTTTACTTGGGATGACAGCAGGCTGCAGAACTGGAGAGTGACTCCCCAAACATACTTTTTCACTGGCAGGAAGCACTGGCTGTGTGATAACTAAGATTTCATGAAAGCCCAGATCTTCCATTCAGAGGTGTATGTGTGTGAACTGTGTTCAGCTCACCTGTGAGGAGCCTAGCGATGCCACAATCTTAACAGGCTCCAGGCATTTCGAATTAAAATGTCAAAAATGTAATAAAAATGTCAAAAATTGAATAAAGTGGTAATAAGTCTATGGCCCAGAATGCCTCTTGGGCATAGCATCTTGTCATCGGTAGGCATCAGTGATCTTTAAAAAGTCCGACTAATTGCAGGGCTTCTGTTCCACCGAGTAGAGCAATCAGATTGCGATTCAGAAGCCAACAGTTGAAAACCAGAATGCAAGCACCACACAGTACAACTCTCAGTCCTCCACGCAGCATCGAGTCTCCTACTAACCATCAAATGCACATGTAAAGGGACAATTCAAAGGCTCATGAGTGTGACCCTTCCTGAGTGACCAGGTGTCTCCACGTGGGGCAATAGTAATACAGAGTAATAAAAAGTGTGACTTGTTTAAAAATTGACTTTACGAAAGTCAAACACAAATCTTGTATAACCAAATTTTTTCAATTTGACATCGTAGTTATAAATGTCTTAATTTCCTAACCTGATTAGAAATGTCAAGAAAGTGGGGCATCACCAATTGTTTCTTCTTTGTGTGTCATGGAGACGAAGAAAAACACTCCTGTAAATTGTGCCAAACGCAAACTACAAACAACAAAGGCAGTTCAAAGACATTAACTTTAGCTTTAGTTAGCTTTAGTTTCAGTGTTAGGGTGGACAACACCACCTTCTTTTAAGTGTGTTCTGATGCACTGAAGACAAGATAATTGTTCTTTAAACAGAGAAGGATGGAAGCTAGAAGAAACAAGATCAGAATATAGGTTGGTCAAGTCAGTTACTTACCTTGTAAAACAGAAATAGGAAGACAGACAACACAGAAAACAGAGAAATGAGTGTTTGGTAAACCTCATATACATTGTGTGTGTGTGTGTGTGTGTGTGTGTGTGTGTGTGTGTGTGTGTGTGTGTGTGTGTGTGTGTTTTAAGCAGGACTAGCGAGATGGCTCTGAGATTAAGAGCACTGGATGCTCTTTCCAAAGGACCAGAGTTCAGTTACCAGCACCCACATGGAGGTTCGTAACTATCTGTAAGTCCAGTTCTAAGGGATCCAGTGTCTTCTGGCCTTAGAGGGCTCTAGGTGCACACATGATGCACAGACATACATATATGTAGGCAAAACACTCACACACACAAAAATAAAAAAATTATAAAACTAACCATTGCAGAGTTTAACAGAAAAGTCAAAGTGCAGGCCGGGCACCTAGAAGGTGCTGTGAGCCACAAACAAGCACAAGCAGTCCCGTCCCATTAGCTGCACTATTCTCCAGTGTGCTGCTGCTACTTCCCGGTGCCTTTGTGAGAGGCTGTTAGCTTCTTTCGGATACTCACTCTAGGCCCTTAGTAATGACTGCGGACAGAGTGTGGTGGCTGCTCTCGGCACTCAGGAGGCAGAGGTAGGATATCCCTGTTGAGTCTGAGGCTGTGCTGTTGAGCCTGGGCAACAGGGTGAGACCCTGTTTCAAACAAAACAAAACAAATGCCCACATGCAATAGACCATACTAAACCATTTAATGTGTGTGCTTCACAAAGAGAGTCCCTGACATGATTATAACTGGCCTGTCCTTGTATGGTGTCCATCTCCTCCTTAAATAATATCTCAACCTATCATCTTGAAATGTACTCTTATTCTGAGAAATGTTTGTCTTTTGAGTCAGGATCTTGCTGTGTTGCTCTGGCTGGCTTGGAAGTTGTTATGCAGCACAGGATCGTCTTGAACTCACAGAGATCTGCCTGCCTCTGCCTCCAGAGTGCCATCACCAAAGGCATGCACCTCCATGCCAGCCTCATGAAGAATTTTTTAAGAATCTATTACATGGGTGTCGTTTTTTGGATAGTCTTTATTTTAAAAGCAATATGCCCATAAAGATACAAAATGGTGATAATATTTTATTTCCCTTTTTAAATTTTGAAACTATTTATTGGGAAGGGGTGAGGTAGTTATGGGTAGGTATGTGAATGCCACATTAGGTGTGTATAACTCAGAGGACACCTTGCAAGAGCCAGTTCTCTATCATGTGGGTCCCAGGGACCAAACTCAGGTTTTCAGGTTCATAAAGCAAGCACTGGTACCCACTAAGCCATCTCACCTACCCTGGTGTGGAATATTTTAAACTATCAAATACATACATACTAAATTTCTATCAGTGTTGCTGTAAACCCAGAGGTCTTTATACTATTAACTCTAGACACCTGGGAAATACACCTGGTAGACACACATTTAGTGCAGTGGCTAGGGATGGGGAAAGAAGGAATGGTAGCCTGGAGCTAACCTCTGATGGGTGAGGATTCAGCTCAGTTTGTAGAAAGCTTGAGCTGAATTCATCAAGCTCTGGGTTTGGACCCCAGCATCGAATATACCAGGCAGGGGGCACAGGCCTGGAATCAGAGCTCATGGGAGGCTGAGGCTGGAGGATCAGAATTCATACCTACTCTGGGCTACGTGAGATCCTGTCTCAAACACGTCAACCCTGATGAGTTCTCAGAGAAAGCGTTTAGCTGTGGCTACTCTGAAGGCCTCCTGAGTAGAGTCTCATACAAGTACTCTGTGACAATTCCCGTTTAATTTTTCAGAAACTGTAGCTGAAATATGGCTCAGAGTGACTTCCTCTACCCAGAAAACCCAAGGAGGCGGCAGGAAGTGAACCGTCTTCACCAGCAGCTCCTGGACTGTTTGTCTGACAGCTTCCAGGTCACCAACAAGCTGACCGGGGTTCTGAACACCCACTTGGGCTGTAGGCTGGCCTTCATTGAAATGAAAAGAGATGGAACTATCAAAGAAAACTGTGACATCATTATCCAAGCCGTGGTAAAAATCCAAAAGGAACTGCAAAAGGTGGACGAGGCACTGAAAGACAAACTAGAGCCAACCCTTTATAGGAAACTTCAGGATATTAAGGAGAGGGAGACGGAGAAGATGGCAATTGTGCAAAAGGTCATTTCTGTCATCCTGGGGGAAGCAACATCTGCCGCCAGTGCGGTGGCTGTTAAACTCCTGGGCTCAAATGTCACAACCGGCATAATGAACAAGCTGGTCACTGTGCTAGCTCACATCGGGACGTCTCTCCTTGGTAGCATTGGAGTTGCTGTGCTTGGTCTTGGCATAGATATAATCTTTCGTGCCATCCTGGGAGCAGTGGAGAGGTCGCAGCTTCAAGCAGCCATCAAAAGTTATGAGAAGCATCTAGTGGAGTTTAAGGCAGCCTCAGAAAGGTACCACCATGCCATCACTGAGGTCACCAGAGCCGTGACGCGCCAGATAAGATGAAGTCATGAACCCACCACGGGCATAGCTCTGTGTCTCCCTCTCCACCTCGATGCTCCTTTGTTTAACTAGTTTCATTGCCATATGCCTCTGATGTGGACAGGGATACAGCCAATGGTTTGGAATGCTCGGCTTCTGTGACCCTCGGTTTTACTGGACCCTCAAGGGATAAGTCTCTGTCTGGGAGTTTTCTTCCCCTGCTGTCGTAACTATGTGGTAGAAAGACATCACAGAGCAGCAGATAGGGAATTATTTCCTTGTTCCCAATCAATGTCCTCAAACATCCTGTATAAAGCAGAGGCCATTCCTATCACCCGTTTCAAACATCGCTTAGGTCTAATGAGACAAACACCTGTGACCTTCCAATGACCTAGAAATACTTCCATATTTTTACCACTAGGTAAAATCCAATTGTCTGTAAACTGGAAATGACTGCAAACAACATTTTCTTCAAGAATAAAAGGAGGCAATGGATCTGTGAGCTTCTACTAATTACAAAGTGTGAATGGATGGATTTGAGAAAGGATAAAATAATAAAACTTGTTTCTATGATGCAATTGACATTGACCAAATGTCTATCGCTTCAGCAGCAGAACACTCTGGAACATTAAACACACACACAAACACACACACACACACACACACACACACACACACACACACACACACACAAGAAATAAACCCCAGATATCCATGCATAAAACATACTAGGGTAAGAAAGAAGACTGTACCTTTTAGGAATTTGTCATTTACCACCCAATTTCAGAAACAGCCAGAGGCTAATGGAGGCCTATGGATACAACTTAATTTCTGTAGACACAGCATTTGTTTTCTAAATCCTTCAACTAACAATTCCCATTGAGCCATTTTTTAGGGTCTACTTTGAAAATTATTATACTGGTTTTTTGTTTGTTTGTTTGTTTGGTTTGGTTTGGTTTGGTTTTTCGAGACAGGGTTTCTCTGTGGCTTTGGAGGCTGTCCTGGAACGCACTCTTGTAGATCTGGCTGGTCTCGAACTCACAGAGACCCACCTGCCTCTGCCTCCGGAGTGCTGGGATTAAAGACATGTGCCACCAACGCCCGGCTTAATTATTATACTGCTAATGCTGAGAATGTCCTTGTTATAGTTGCTTTGTTTTTTTGAGTACAAAAAAAAAGTTGTTGAAATACTCAGTATCTGTCAAAAATCTTACAAGTAGATGAAAAATTTTAACTAGCCACATGACTCTTTCAAATGTACTTTTTTTTTTTTTGTAATCGCTGCTTTTATGAATTAGTTTCAACTTCTCACAACTTGGGTCACCTTCAGGGTTTTTCACTATTATTATTATTACTACCTGATTTGTAAGTTTTGAACCATTAGATCTTGCTATTGCTGACACTCACAGAGTAATCAAATTTAAGAAGACACCAGGGATTTTTAATACGACACCCAGGTGTGTGATGGCTCATGCCCGTTAACTTCATCAGTCAAGACAACGAGGCAGAAGGATGGGGAGATGGAGGTCTACTGATGGAATAAGCAAGTCGGGGATTCCTAAGGGGCCTGTCTCAAAATTTAACTTTTTCTTTGGGCCGCAACAAAGCTTAGACTAAGTATGCGACTGATGCCACAGCGTCCGGGGCCACAACGTAAAACATTCTACCCATGGGCAGACGCCTCTACCAATAGCTGTGAAATACCTGATGTCAAAAAATCCCTCTTATAACTTTTGTCTGCGCAGGGTCCTCAGATGAAGCTGAAAAACCACCACGCGCGCGCTTTACGGAGATCTCATAGCCAGTGTCTCTCCTTGAAGGGGGAAAGAGAGGGTGGGGAGGCTCTTAAGGGTCGGGGTGTGAAGGGAGAGGAAGGACGCAGACGACGGGGAAATCATTCCGTGGGTGCAGTGACATCACAAAGGACGAGCAGCCCCGGAGCGGGAGCGTCACGTGCCGCCTTCTCCGGGGACATCTGCGGCGCGCACCCGGTTTCTCTCCCAGGACATTTTTGTTTCCCGTGTGTAGATGACAAATGAGTGACTCTCGCTAGGAAATGACTTTTGTGCTCGGCGCGGCACAGGCTGGGTTTCCGGG